TATTCTATGACCTTAGCATCGTTTTCCAATACTTTTTTTGCAACATGCGAAATATATTCTCTCATTTTCTACGAATTACAGTATTTATTTAGTTTTTTTTTTAGAAACCTACGTAAATTCATGCGCGCCTGGATGTCATCCATATAATGACTTGACATGGCCTTAATGATAAACATGGGATTTTTTGACTGGCTCAGAATCTACCAATTAACTTGAAATCCAGACGCGAGAAAGAAGTTTTAGTTCACCGACCGCATTGTTTTGCCGATAGTTTTTGCTTGTGTTTCATGGCAAGATAATGAGAACTCTATATAATCTATCACGTCTAGATCAAACTGGAGTTGGGCCCGCCCACGAAGCTCGCAGTGAGAAACTTTGACACTCAGGCGACTTCTGCGGCTCCTCCGGGTCCAGAACGGCGTTCCTGGAATGTTGGATGAAGGCTATTATGTTACCCCTGGCACGGGCCAGGTCCTGTACGTGGAGAGGACCACGGTCGGTATGTCAGAAAACGATGGCCATTTTCCCCAGATCTCTGTAGTGTGTACCTAGATAAATTTCACGGCTTCTTATTATTAGCTCTTGCAGCTGATTGAACAAAAAAACAAATAGGAAGAAGAATATAGTTATGGTTTAAATAGATTACATCGTTAAGATTCGACGTCATTCATGATTGTCGAGATTCTTTTGATATTTCAGTTTTTTTTCGAATCGGAGAACTTGCCTCTGCGCAGAGCTTTTGTCTCAAAAACATTATACATGTAGGCACGGACGTCCGCACAACAATATTGTTTGACCCCTACTGTGCTTAATTATCTGACTGTAAGAAGAGACCGACACCGGGACAGGGTAGGTTTCAGTGTGATTTCTCGTTTTTGCAGAAGGCTCCTCCGGGACCGAAGCAACAACACTTGCACCGGAAGAGGCAGACAGTGGCGTGGCCATGGTCAAGCGGCATTTTGTCGGTAAGTTGTACCGTCTTATTTTACCACCACATTGTAACATGTGAGGATGGGTTTGTGTAATATTTACAGACTTTGATTAAGTGTACTAATTAAGTTATGTTGTATTTTGTTTGTAGGGAAGTTCGAGATACCGGTGGACGGAACGGTCTCCCCGCATTGGAGACGGCTTTGCCGTCACCCCGACCTACACCACGTCAGGGATCTAAAGGCCAAGTTCAAGGCGACACGTGACATGTCGACACGGTACTGGCTGTCCACTTTCTCGGGATCACGCCGCAGGCCTTTCGAATTCTGCCTGACGAGATCGTCACATACACCACTTGTGTCGGCATGTTTGACATCGCGACAAAGTTCCCTTCCTGGTGGACTCGGCGAGGGAAGTTCCCTCTAGGCGGACTTGACAGTACGCGCGTGTCGGCCCTTAGTCGGCCTGCACAGACTTCGCGCTGGGAACACCGCTGGTGTCGGCCTGGTCGACGTCGAGGGAACCTTCCCTCCGTGTGTGACTTGGCAAGGAACACCGCTAGTGGCGGATTTAACGCAAGAACACCGTTCGTGTCGGCCTGGTAGCGGGAACTTCCCTCGTGTGCGACTTGGCAAGGGACACCGCTAGTGACGGACTCCGGACTTCGTGCATGAACACCATGCGAGGAAACTTCCCTCGTGTGCGACTTGGCAAGGGACACCGCTAGTGACGGACTCCGGACTTCGTGCATGAACACCATGCGAGGGAACTTCCCTCGTGTGTGACTTGGCAAGGGACGCCGCTAGTGACGGACTTCGTGCATGGACACCGTTCATGACAGAAACTCTCCGTTGTGACCGGTTAAAGGAGGGAATTTCCCTCCTATGGTGGCTGGATAAAACAGAAAATATAACTTGTACCTGGCCACACGAGGGAAGTTCCCTCGCTAACCCCAGAAATCTAAGCCACTATGATGGTCTTTCTGAACTTCTTGCTGTCTTTAATTTGTGCTATTACAGTCTGAAAAGCTTTATCTTCAAAATTTTGTTGTCTTAAGATTTTAAAATTCAAGACGAAAAAAGGGGAATAAATTGTATTTTCCCCTTTAGATTTGGATTGTGTTTGTTGTAAAATGTATTATCTTATAAGCAGAAGGCGTCGACCAATCAGAAGCCTCCATTTATTAGAATAACCGACCACTTTTTGGATCGTACCATCGACAGGGCACTAAAAGTAGTGTTAAGACTTGTAGTATTTATCTATTAAAACATATTGTAGTTTATTTTTAATAATTTGTTTCAAAATACAACACAATTAAAAAAAGAAATTTTAACAGAAAAATGATGTTTAACATCCCCACTAAAATGGTACTGTTCCGATGTCACATGATCACCGCAGATCATTGCCTAGCTGATCTGTTTTTCTGTCCATGCCGTCTTGTTTCACGTAACATAGAATGTGAGAGGTTTTTTTTCGGCAATGGAGGAATTTTATAAAGTAATTTTGTCAACTAACTGTCAGCTGGACAGGCTATATGATGATAACTTAAATGCCCCGCCTTATCCTCGTTGTATATAGTGGTATAATCCCTGGTCAGGTGCAATAACTACCTCATAAAACACCTCGTTTGCTCCGCTCACTCGGTGGTTTATTCGGTGGTTATCACAACTAACCAGGGATTATCTCATCATATACACCTCGGGGCGGGGCATCAACCCGTTATTATACAAAATTTATTACCTCCGGGGAAGGAGACATCCTTCTACATATTTTGGTCCAAACAGTTGACTAACATGGCACTAATCTGCAATATTCCAGGATGCACACGTCGCCAGCTCTGCTTAGCTGCAGTATATACAGCTACGGTCCTTGTGTCGTGCGTCGTTATTGGAGTCTTTCTCTGGTTAATGTTAAGCGCCAACTCAACAACGGTAGGCCTCTGTCTTATAGCCTTGTCTTGCTTTCGTTATGTTCATCGTTTCTTGAGGTTTATCTTGCATTTTAGAGTTCTCGTTTAGTTATAGATACCCTGGAATCCAGAACTCATTTTCCGGGCCGCGAAAGCCCTTCGCCCGCTGGTGTAAATTACCGCTACGGGGGAGTATAGCCCGGGGCCGGACAAACCCCTCGGGCTCAACTCCCCCGTAGCGGTAATTTAGATAGGCGGGCGAAGGGCTCTTGGATGCCGAAGGAAAACGGCTAACGGCCCGATACTAGTTTGGCATCCAGCGTAAGTTGTAGAGCACTATTGCGTTGCACAATAATAATAATAATAATAATAATAATAATAATAATAATAATAATAATAATAATAATAATAATAATAATAATAATAATAATAATAATAATAATAATAATAATAATAATAATAATAATAATAATAATAATAATAATAATAATAATAATAATAATAATAATAATATATATATATATATATAGTACGTACGTACGTACGTACGTACGTACGTACGTACGT